CTTCTGAATCGATAAGTGTTTCATATTTTGAGTGAATTTTAATTAAATGTGTTTTCATTTCACATAAACATTGGATTTCATGTAAAAGTCTATTGTTTTCAGACAATAATTCATCCAAAATATCATTAATATTAATCATTGAATCCATAATTGAATTCAAAATCACATTTAATTAGTATTAATTAATTTGAATACAAATTAAGTCCAAAACCAGACAACAATTTAATTGCAAAAATGTAAACAAAAACTCATAATAAGTGAGAAGTGAAGGGATTTTGTATGAATTGCAAAATATTTATTCATAAAATTAATAATACAATCGATATATTAATAAATTACAGAATTTTCTATTATGTTTAAAAACATATAAAAATTAATCCAATTAATTTATAAATTAATCTACATTTTATGGACTTGTTTTATATGTGCGATAAGATTAGCACTATTAGTGGCCCTATACTGACATCCGGGCCAATGACACGCATAGGGCCTAACATTGTTGTGAACATTCATGTGATTAGTTAAGTGACAACTCTTTCGGAACTGTTTGCCACAGTCGGGCCATAAACACTGGTATCGCTTTTCACCCGTATGTGAGCGCTTATGTTCGGTGATCCCTCTGCCCGTCCACTCACATCCCGGCCAATCGCACCGGTGTTGCAGACGCTTGTAAGCGAGCGGTTCCCGATTGTGGACAAGGGTTTGGTGTTTGCGTTTTTGGTGTTCATTTGTGAACATATCAGTGCAGCCATCAATACCGCACTTGACTGTCGGTCCGCTTACGTGCATATTCTGTATATGCTTTTCGAGAGACAGTTTACTCTTCAATGTCTTCCCGCAGTCAATGACATCGCATCTAAACACTGGTCTCTCAGTTGAATGGATCACAAAATGTCTGTTCAATATTTTATTTGAATGCGTTTCATAATCACAGCCATTATAATGACATTTAAATGGTTTATCGCTTAAATGAATGCCCGAATGGATTTTCAGCTCAAATTGTGTTTTGAATACTTTATTGCAATCATTGAATTCGCATTCAAAGCGTCTATTCGTATGAAATCTATGCAAATGTTTTAAAAACCTCGCATTTGTCGCATAACTTTTGTTGCAATAATTTAGCGGACATTTAAACGTCTTTGAATTTAAATCAAAGCATTTCTCTCTTTCCGTGCGATTATTAATCAGTATATCAGCCGTTGAATGGTTTGAATCGGTTTTAATTGATTCCTGTCTTATAGACTTATAGTCATTATTTGAATCAATAGTTTCTGTCGTTTCCATACAATTGTTATCCAAGCCTTCAATGACTTCTTCTCTCACTTTCTCGACACAAACCGCAGACTCTTTTGGACAGTAATTGTGAACAGACTTGTGATGAAGGCTTCGGTGGTATTCGGTGTAAAACATATCCACACATCGGTCGACATCACAGCTAAGAGTGGGACCCGTTTTGTGTACTAATGAATGACGTCTGAGATCATTCAATGTCTTGAAGCACTTCCCGCACCCAATGAAGTCACACCTGTAGGACCTCTCAGATGAATGTCTCTCCAAATGTTCGGTTAGACCTTCTTTTCTCGCGAACCTCTTCTGGCATTCGCTGTAATGACACTTAAACTTCTTGACAATTGGTGTGGAAGTGCTTTGAGTGATGTGTGTCATAGAGTGCTTCTTCAGACCGGGTCTACTTAAAAAAGTTTTGTGACATTCTTTGTATTCACACCGATATCTGATCCGTCGGTTCTCATGGGTTCTAACGTGTGAACTAAGACAAGTCATATTCTTACACACTTTATCACATCCTTTGACTTTACATTTAAATGTTTGGTTAGAATGAGTGCCATATAAATGGCCGTAAAATCTAAGGTCAGTCCCAAAACTCTTGTGGCACTCATTTATGGGACAAATGAATGCATTTGTAGTCAAATCAAAATATTTTTTTCTTTCCGTCCGATTGTATCGCAAGGATTCATACAATGATTGCTTTGAATCCCATTTCATAACTCTTTGTATTTTTCTCGCGTTTCTGTTCACATTATCCGTCGATTCAGTCATTTCTTCATTCAATTCTTTTCCATAACTTTCATCCGAGTCTTCATTAATGTCTTCGTTGTTGTCATCCATTGTTTGAATAACTCTTTGTTTTTGATGTTTTCTTCTCAATTGTCTTGTATTGGGTTTTGTCACCACTTCTTGTGTTTTATTGCTTTTCCTTCTCTTCGTTTCGACATAACTATCATCTGATTCTTCACTCATGTCTTCATTCAAGTCTTGCATTACTTTTCGTTTTTTACATTTTCTTCCCAATTGTCTGCCATTCGATGGACTCTTTAGTGTGAAATCAGTTTCACTCTTCACGTGATTGACATCTGAAGTGATATTTTGGTCTTTTATTTGATCCAATGTTTGAGATAATGTCCGGAAGTGTTGATTGTCTTCTGAATCGATAAGTGTTTCATATTTTGAGTGAATTTTAATTAAATGNCTTCTGAATCGATAAGTGTTTCATATTTTGAGTGAATTTTAATTAAATGTGTTTTCATTTCACATAAACATTGGATTTCATGTAAAAGTCTATTGTTTTCAGACAATAATTCATCCAAAATATCATTTATAGTAATAATTGAATCCATAATTGAATTCAAAGTCAGATTTAAAACTAATTCACAATTAATTTGAATACAATTTAAGTCCAAAACTAAAACAACAATTAAATGACAAAAATGTAAACAAAAAGTGAAAACATATGAGAAGTGAAGGGATTTTATATGAATTGCATTTTCCAAAGTTTTCCAACTTTTAACAACTTTTCAGAATTAATGCCAGAATTTAACACATAATTCAAAATTTCATTAAAATTAATATAATATTCAAAAAATTAAATAAAAATATTTTAAAGATTTTAGTTGTTATTATAAATATATCAAAATCTAATTAATTAGTAATAAGTAAGTAATTAATTAAAATTGCATAAAAAATTATTAAAAGTGTCATAAAATGTAAATTTAATAAAATGTTAATATTTTTAATAATGTAAGAAATCAATAGACGATTCGTGAGAGCCATCATTCGTACGACTGGCCAACTCTTTCATCGCTGGTCACCGACACGTCGGCCACCACTGCATCCGATCGGGTCTTCTCGAGTCCAACACTCCATTGGCCTTCAAATGCAATCATTATTACAATTATCTCAAACTCGTGGCCAAAGATGACCACAATATGGATGAGTCCATACCTGCGTCGGCCACTGGTATACGAAAGCCAGCGCTTGATTCCGAGGGCTTACTGACCGCCCAATCGCTTGTCATCCCATAAACGGTTCCATTCGGTGACTCGAGAGTCACATTCAATAGAGTGATGCCATCGCTGGTGACCGTAAAAGTGGTATTCAATCCCAACTCTTTGGGTATTTGAACCGCCGTTTGATTCTTGAGATTAGTTTCCATGCGAACAATCTTCTGGAGCACAACCACTGTATGTCTCGTCTCTATCACTGTCTTATCGCCGCAGGAAGTGTTACCACAAGAACTACCACTTGAAGGAGGTGTAGTTGTATTCGGAGGAATGGAAGTAGTAGTGGTAGGTATGGGATCAGGTAGTGGTTCAACGTTAATGAATGCAATGTTAGAGACTTCTCCCCAATTGCTGTTGTCATCGACGGCTCGTAAACCGAAATAAACGGTAACTTTGGGTGTATTTGCGGACATCAAGAGTGCGGACGGAATCTGGAATTTGACTCTCATTATCGTATGGCCCTCTGGAGGGGCGAGACTTCCCGTGTCTAACATCTGGTCATCGATTACCACATTTGAGTCAAACAATTCTTGTCTGTAAAGCGTTTCGGGTCTCAGAGATGTCCGCAAATCTATTTTCGTTGCTTTTCCTTCAGATATTAATTTATAAAATATTTTAATTTTCAATAGTTTTTATTATTTTCAATGAGATGTAAACCTGTGTACGAGTCATCTCCCGGTGCCGTCCACTGGAGCTCAACCGTACGATTGTCCTCAGAGGTAATGACCTGCAAATCGGTGACTCTTCCGGGACTCATACCATCGACGCCGGGATTAAAGTTATCGACAAGAAAAGCGCCCACTTCTGCCCCACGAGTGAACGGTGCGATCGGTATCGATATAATGGTCTCTTCGGGTTCTGTGCCATCCGTTGCGATGAAATCGTTGATTTGAAACTCACTTTTAGGTACTTTACGGTGTGGAGGGGATGGGGGTATGATTATGGGTGGAGAGGGTAGGGGTGGGGCACCCGGGGCTGTTGGCGTTCCTGTGGGTGCTGGCAATCCTGGGAGTGTGGGATAATCCTGGATTTGTGGCAATCCGATCAACAATTGACTTTCTGTGGCCATCCGTAAAGTTTTTCCATATGTTCTAAGTTTCGTTACGGACGGAATGTCAGTGATCTTCGCGGACACCGAATATCTATCATTTTGAGTGAATTGCGTGAAAGCAGTCGTATAGACGCCATCATTAGCTCTGATATCAGGACCGGCGCCGTCGTCGTAGAGGTCAAGCTTTCAATTAACACAAATAAAATCAATATTTAATTGTAACTCAAAGAGAATATTTTTCTCCGATTAAACCTCAATGGTTTGATCGCCGGGTCTCTGAACAACGGCCACAACTTTAGCCCCAATCACAGGGTTGTATGCCTTCATTAATTGTACGTAAATTAAAGCATTCGACGGGTATCTGACCTCTAAATGGCCGAAAAATGCATTGACACGAATGGGTTGTTGTGTCGGGTCTTTGGGTTCACTCGTGACCGACAACTCGGCCAATATGTCGCCTAATGGCCAGCCGGGAGTCATTTTACTCAATTCCACTTTCCAATCACCCACTTCTGAATCGGTGATCAATAACTCCATGAATTGATTTTTATTAACCGGTTTGGAAATCATATCAAATATCTGTCCATTCGGTGATCTAATTTTGACACTAATCTCCTGAATATTAGTTGAATGCACCAGAAATTTGGTGTTATTACCCAATTCTGAATCAATAATAACTTGTTTCGTAAGAGTCGTGTCTCCTATTGTAATCACATCTCTATTCAATATAAGCACCGATTGGTCTTCGATTTCAATCTTAATTCAATTGAAAGTGACATTTATAATTAGTTTTTGTTAAAAATTAATAGTAAAATACCTGTTGTGTGATTATATCAGTGAAATATGTGTTGATTGCACTGTCATCGCCTGTATGTACACTATATACAATACCTCCAGTTATTGCTGATATATTATTGAGTGTCTGCTCCACATTATACCCGATGGTAATTACATCTACTTTAACGCCAGCATCGGATGCCTCCGAACCGTAATAATATGGATCAAATCCACCATCGTAACCATCGGTGATCATTATAATAGTGGTGCCCTGGGTCTGGGTTCCATTCTCACCAAGAGTATCCAATGCTAATCTTAATCCATTTCCTATATTTGTACCCCCGATCGTCCGAGTTGGTACACTCATAGACAAGTCATTACGACTATTATTATTGATTGTAACAATTGGATACAATAATGAAGCCGTATTTGAAAACTGGATGATTCCCAATTGCATGCCATCTTCGATGAGATCAGTAATTAAACGTCTGGTCATTACTGATAGAAAGCCACTCCAATATTCATCCATACTTACAGACACATCGAGTACTAAAATAAATGTACCACTATTGTTTCGACTTTCGTGACTGATTTGATATACTGTTATATTGGGTTCCGTATAAACGCCACTTAAAGTATTTCTATTGATATTTAATTACAAATATTAGAATAATTTATAATATGTTTAAATATAATTTATACGATTGTGTGAAATCGTGGTGACTATCGATCACATCCTTTACACTCCTATAAGAGCATTGAATGTTATGTTCGTTCGGCGCAAATGAGTTGTGATTTACTTTTGGGTCAATTGTATTGTCTTCGCAATACTTTTCAGTCTATCAATTAATTAATCTATAATTTAGAGGGAGAGAGAGAGAGAGAGAGAGAGAGAGAGAGAGAGAGACTCACGGATTGATAGTGAGGTAAAGACATGATTGAAGCGATGGGACTGTTGTCTGATTTATCGGCAATGAATTTGCAGTTGTGGTCGACTCGACCCGTGCTGTATATCTTACATGTGTTGCCATTCATGTCCTCTGCATTGCCTTTAATACCCGATACACAGAAAGTGGGATATATCTAAATGAAATTACAATGCATTGAAATTTTTGACTTATTTTTGCATAACTTTATAAATTATAGTAATTATTAAACAAAATATTAAATTAATTTTTAATTACTGTTCCGTTAGTCATATAAAATGTTGGATATCTATAATCACCAGCGCTTCCGAACTCATCAAACACACCGTACCGATAGTGTGACCACTCGTTTACCAAAAGTTTGTCTTAAATATGTTAATATTAATTAAATATAAGAATATTCTACAGATTTACAGATTGAATACCCGGATAATCAAAAGTGTTTCGAATAATATCATTGAGTTCTTTAACAAAATTATCTGTCAATTGGATATATTCACCCGATTGTCTGCAACCTCTCGGTTGGAGTACAAACGGCTTATCACTTGGGCTTTGAGCCGATGGTACGATCCGTATGTGGCCGTCGTCCCAATGCGAGTCTAGAATTTTATTGTATTCATCTTTTTGAGGCCACGACTTCGGAAGAATAACTGCTATGTCTTTAAATTGAGCCCTGCTTTCAGTCGCTCCGTATAGAAAGGCCGACGATTTGATTAGCAGTTCTTTAAGATTAGCGACCAATTGATCGCTGTCTGTGATATCGGGATGAATGGTAACCACAAGACCTTCATATTCGCCGTTATTATATTGAATCGGTTTTGGGACACAAATGACAACCAATATCACCGATAATATAGTTAATGATATCTCTATTATTCTCATTATATTATTGTTATAACTCTTTGAATAATAAATAATAATTTATATTTTAGAAGTTTATTCAAACAAACAGTGAATTAAAATAAAGACTAAAATATAAATGGTGTGGTATTTATGTATTTTTGTCTCAAATACTATTGCTTTTAATGTAATGACAATTAACCCAATTTAAGACAATTAATTTTAAACAATATTATTTAATAAAATAATAATTTAACACATTTTGGGCGCAGAATATAAACACAGAATATATAACTTTAACGGATTATATTTCACAGACATTAGGCGTCTAATAGTTAAACAAATATTATATACTGTATTTACTGCAGTTGTTTTTTAAAAACTTTGTCCGATAATTAACCTTGCTTATTGACCACATTTATAAATATAGTCTATTACTAGTATGGGCAGCAATAAAAAAATGCATTATGACGAGTCATTTTTTCCATTGAAATTTACACTCACAAGGGAAATGCAAGTTTTTTCCGATTTACAATTAAATTTAATTCAGTTGTATGTGTAGATTGAGTGGGAATAAAAAATATAAATTCTAAATCTCGGGCTGATAGCCACAAACGGCCGAGATATGACCATTCTAGTGATCGCGCCCATACAGCATATAGCAATGCAGTACTGGTGATTAGCCCAAGCACTGTGTGAAACACCTTTTTTCAATGCTATACGCCGTATAGACGGGATCACTAGAATGGTCATACCATACAGCGTATAGCAATGCAGTACTGGTGATTAGCCCAAGCACTGTGTGAAACACCTTTTTTCAATGCTATACGCCGTATAGACGGGATCACTAGAATGGTCATATCTCGCGAGTTTGTGGCTATCAGCCCGAGATATAGAATTTATATTTTTTATTTGGTCCAATTTACATGTACAACTGAATTAAATTTAATTGTGAGTCGGCAAAAACTTGCATGGCCCTTGTCAGTGTAAATTTTGCCCTTATTAGGTCTATTATATTGTTTGTAACAATCAGTTATGAAAGTATCAAAACAACATGATATTGAAATAATTGTAAATTGAATATTAAATATCACTAAATAACCTTGTTTACTATTGTTTTTGGGTTTAATATTTTTAATAAATTGTTTTAATAATTACATAAATAACAAAATAAATAAACTTTGTAATTAAAATTGTCAAAATGAGTAATAAATTGAATGTTAAATAAACATAAATATAACAGTTATATAAATCATTTGAAAGAATATTTAATAAAAATAAACAAGTTTTTAAAACTGTAGACATAATTATAAAATTGGTAAAACTGTTAAGAGATTCTCTCCAGAAGTATAACTAATGGAACTGTTGCTGACATTTGTCTTAAGACTTTTATTACTTTTATAGTTTTGTGGACTCATTTTGAATTTAATGATTTATATTTAAGTGTTTATTTTATTGTTAAAAACAAAATAAATATAATTTTATTTATAAAAATAAATTAATTCATTTGTTTAATAACTTACTAAATATAATTTAATTAAATTTTCTATAAATCTAATTAGAAATCTAATCTTAATTTTAACGCTTAAACTATATTTTCATTTCACAAATTCTATGGTTTACTATTCAGTCAATAATTTATAAAATAGTTTTGTTATATTTAATACTTTTTTAAATGATATTTATTCTCAAATTGTGATAAATACAAAACATAAGGTAATTTTACAACTTGCATAATAAATGTTTTTAAATAATTTTTTATTACATTTTTATACCAAATAAATTAATTAAGTTATTTTTGATTACATATATTGTAGTGCATATTTCAAATAGATAAAGTTCTTTAAACTTACAGTATATTATGTGGTTTATCACTAATTTTGACATTTTATGACTATTATAACAATTATAAAATACAGTAATTCGTAAATGACAATTCTTATTTTGAAAAACGTATAAATAGATTACATTTTACATGAAATAAATTCAAATAATTAATTACCTTTAAAATATTAAACAAAACAAATTTTACAAAACATTTGTGATTTAAACGCTTTAAATAATGTTTAAAATTATAATTTTGTTATTAACTATTTTTAATTCCTATTCTAAAGGACACCGAATTGTAATGAATTCTTAAAATATTAAATTTTTCAAAAAAAAATGTTAACTTTTATTATGTTTTATATTTAGGAGAATTTCGATAACAGTTTGTCACAAACACAGAGTAAGTATTAAATAATTCAATTAAAAATATTTACAGAATATTCTGTGTAAACCTTACATGTAATAAATACTTTACATAAATAGCCACTAATAGCGATGGGTTTCCCAGCGATTGGGATCTGCAGTTCATTTTGTTTACACGTATCAATCGAGACAATCCCTCACTAACTATACTGCCATACAATCCAACCGATGATAGCATTAAGATCACTGCATTTGATCCCAAAAAGCCTACCAAATTTCTAGTCCACGGATGGCTTAACAGCTACAATAAAACGGACCAAATGGGAGTGTATTGGATGAAAGTAAAATAACTATTTATAATATAATTTATGAAATATTGATTAAACCAATTGTATGTATATTTGTGTTCAGAATGTGACTGATTTTATACTCAGCCAAACGGATGGTAACGTGTTTTGTGTCGACTGGTCTAAAGTGGCCGGTGATGTGCTGTATTTCCCAGTGGTTCCCAAGACTCAAGTGGTCGGACAAATGATCGGCTATTTTATCAATCGATTAATCGCTGCCACCGGTGTCTCATTGAATGACATCCATCTGATTGGGCACAGTTTGGGCGCTCATGTAGTGGGCTTTGCGGGTCAATCACTACTTCCCAATAAAGTGGCGCAGATATCAGGTCTGGACCCGGCGGGACCCGGTTATGGCGATGGGTCGCCACGACTCAGCAAAAACGACGCCCAACTCGTGGTCTGCACTCACACCTCGTCGGGCATTGTCTACGAAGGAGGTCTCATTTCACTCAAAATATCAATAGTAATTAAAATAATTTAAACTATTAATGATTATTTGCTATAGACATAAGTATTACCGGATTTCTGGGAAATAAGGCTTCTTTAGGACACTATGACTTCCGAGTGAACGGAGGTTTGAATCAATGAAATCACTAAACAGTAAACATAATACACGTAAACATGTATAATATTTGTGTAATGTAGGTAATTATCAGCCTCATTGTAACTTGCTCAGACAAGTGAAAACAGATACAATGTTATTGAGTGCGCTAAATATCGAAAGTGATCCTGATCTTATAGGTATGGCCAGACTTTACTTGTCTTTATACTTAATATTTGAAATCATTATAAATTTAACTGATATTTCATTAAATTGACCACAATTTCAGACGATATCTTGAATCTAATTGTGTGCTCCCATATAATGGCTTACGTATATCCCGTTATTGCGCCTCAAAATGACTGTCAATTCATAGCTTACCGGTGCCCGACATTACCCGACTATGAAAATGGAGAGTGCGCTGAATTGGCACAACCCATGCAATTTGATTTCGCATATTATGATAATCCGGATAATAAACTAAACCAAACTTCAACACCAAATGAGATGTTCATAGAAACGAGCGGTTCATATGATTACTGTCAATATCATTATCAGATTCTTGTAAAAAAAAGTTTAATATATTTTACAATATATAATATATTTAATATTTGAATTATATTTAATATTTGAATTATATTTAATATTTGAATTATATTTAATATTTGAATTATATTTAATATTTAATTAATCAATTAAATGCCACAACAGATGGAAGTGAGCCAAACACCACTTGTGGGTGAAATTATTGAGATTACAATTTATGGCACCGAAACTAAAGTTACTTTCCAGACAACCTTGACTTTACTGAGCCCTGAGGGTCAGTATAGTTACCTGTATGTGTCCGACCGGCCATTGGGATCAGTTACGTCGGCCGAGACTCGGGCTATTGGTTTGGGCGCCGCAAAGATCAGTGTTATTCACGTTAATTATATGAGCGCTTTGGATGTCAAGTAATACATTTAAAATATTAACAATTTTTTCAAATCCTCATTAAATTAATCACAATTTCTATCATTTTGTGTGATATAGTGTTCGCCAACAAAAGTCATCCAAACTGTGCTATAAAAGCAAATCCAATAGTTTTCAGACGTGTTAATCAGAATTACAACTAAAATATTGATTTATTTTATATAAAACTGTTAGATTGTAATGTATTATTGATTAAATGTATTATTGAAAAAACAAAATAAAATTTATATAAATGTAAAATGTGTGAACAAATTAAATGCATATTTAAAACTTGATAATTATAAATTTTATAATATAAAATAACTAGATAACAAATTGTTTATAGCATACAATATAATAAGTTATAATACCGTACATGTGTCATAATGAATCATATTATGACATCTCCTCATGTCGTTCAAATAAATAACCTTTTTTAAACTTCTATTATGTAGTTTGTTGCTAGTTTTAACATTGTATAAATTTTATGACAATTCTTATTAAAAAACGTATAAATAGATTACACTTTACATGAAATAAATTCATAAAATTAATTATCTTTAAAGTTTTAACAAAGACTAACTCTAATAAAATTTCAAAAAAATTGTTTGTAAATTAATCGCTAAAAATAATGTTTAAAATCATTATTTTGTTATTAACTATATTTAATTTTTATTCTAAGGGTTTCCAAATTGTAAGAAATCTTAATAAATATTAATTTTTACAATAAATATTAACTTTAATTGTTATATTTAGGACAATTTCAGTAAAAATTTGGTACAAACGCAAAGTAAGTTTTAAATCATATAACTATAAATTTTAGTATAAATTTTTAGAGAATATTCTATACAAATAATTACATGAATTTTATGATACAAAATATTTTACACAAATAGTTACTAATAGCGATGGGTTTCCCAGCGATTGGGATCTGCAGTTCATTTTGTCTACTCGTCTCAATCACGACAATCCTTTACTAACTATACTGCCATACAATGCGACCGATGATAGCATTAAGATCACTACATTTGATCCCAAAAAGCCCACCAAATTCCTAGTCCACGGCTGGACGAGTGGATACAATATTTCAGATCTTATTGGAGAATATTGGATGAAAGTATTCATAACTTATAATTTTTTTTTTTTCATAAGACTATCAAAAAATGTCTTAAAACTTTTGAAACAACTTATAAAATATTAATTAAAACTAATTTTATGTATATTTGTATTCAGAATGTGACTGATTTCATACTCAACGAAATGGATGCTAATGTGATTAGCGTCGACTGGTCTAAAGTGGCCGCTGATCTCCTGTACTTACCAGTGGTTCCCAAGTCTCAAGTGGTCGGACAAATGATCGGCTATTTTATCAATCGATTAATCGCTGCCACCGGTGTCTCATTGAATGACATCCATCTGATTGGCCACAGTATGGGCGCACATGTGGTGGGCTTTGCGGGTCAATCATTACTTCCCAATAAAGTGGCGCAGATATCAGGTCTGGACCCGGCGGGACCCGGTTATGGCGATGGGTCGCCCCGACTCAGCAAAAACGACGCTCAACTTGTAGTTTGCACTCACACCTCGTCGGGCATTGTCTACCAAGGAGGTTTATTTGCAACAAAAATCACAGACAATATAAAACAAAAAATTTTAAACATCTATTATTTTTTAGACATAAGTATTACCGGATTTCTGGGAAATAAGGCCTCTTTAGGACACTATGACTTCCGAGTGAACGGAGGTTTGAATCAATTACATTTCATAAATTTTGAGATAACATGTACTATAATTAACTAAACTTATTATAATTCAGGTAACTTTCAGCCAGCATGCAACTTTCTCAAACTAATTAAAACAGACTTATTACCGAGTAATATAAAAAATGTTTCAGGTATAACTTGATTACTCGCTACTCTTTGCTACTCATTCTCACTCAGTAATAATTCATTTTATTGTTCATTTGTAGATAATGTTCAATATTTAATATTCTGTTCCCATGAGATGGCCTACAGATACCCGGTTATTGTGCCTCAAGATAGCTGTCAATTTATAGCCTATCGGTGCCCGACATTACCCGAATATGAACAGGGCAAATGTGCACAACTGCCACAACCCATGCAATTTGATTTTGCATATTATGATAATCCGGACAATAAACTAAACCAAACTTCAACACCAAATGAGATGTTCATAGAAACGAGCGGTTCATATGATTACTGTCAATATCATTATCAGATTCTGGTATTAAATGTCAATTATATTTAGGAAATTTTTATTACAACAAATATTAAATGTTATTATTTGTTAATTAAGTTAATTAATCATTTGTTGTCCACAACAGATGGAAGTGAGTCAAACACCACTTGTGGGCGAGATTATTGAGATTACACTTTATGGCACCGAAACGAACGCCACTTTTCAAATAACTCTCACTTTATTGAGTCCTGAGGGCAATTATAGTCACCTGTATGTGTCCGACCGGCCATTGGGATCAGTTACGTCGGCCAAGACTCGGGCTATTAGTTTGGGCACCGGAAAGATCAGTGCTATTCGTGTTAATTATATGAGCGCTTTGGACGTCAAGTAATTTATTAGAAATATTGATTGTTTTATCCATTCTTTATTAAATTAATAAAAACATTTTCTATGATATAGTGTTCGCCAACAAAAGTCATCCAAACTGTGCTATAAAAGCAAATCCAATGGTTTTCAAATCTGTTAACCATCACCACAACTAAACTATTGATTATTAAACAATTAATAATTAAAAACAATTAAAAAATTACTTTTTAAATTTATTTTAAACAATTTATTGGTTAGTAATGTGCTAAAACATGTTAATTGGATATAAATTAAGTATTTTATATAAAACTTGGAATAAACAGGTGTTATTGAAAAATTAACTAAAACAGCAAAAATATGAATATTAAATGTGTGACGAAATTAAATTCAAATTAAAAACTTGATAAGCATAATTTATTACTCATAAACATTATAAAACAATTAATTGTAAATAACAAACTATAATTTTTTTTATAGTTTAAAATACAGTATAATAATATGACATTTGCACATGTATTTTAAATTCATAACTTTGTCAACCATCTAGTTTAGCACTATTTTGACATTTTATAAAGTTTATAACAACTATTTTAAAATAACTCGTAAATACATGTAGAGTATAAATGAAAATAATTTATAAATTAATAATTAATTGCCTAAAATTTCAAACAAATACTAATTATACAAACAAATTGTGAATTAATCGCATTCAATAATGTTTAAAATTATTATTTTGTTATTAACTATATTTAGTTTCTATTCTAATGGACAGCAAATTGTAACAAATTCTGTTGAATATTTAATTTATAAATAAATAATAACTTAATTGTTATATTTAGGAAAAATTTAATAAAAGTTCAATACAAATACACAGTAAGTAAAAAATCATTTAACTATAAATGTGTACAGAATATTCTTTATTTATTTGATAACTAATATAGAAATATTCTGTACAAAAATATCACAATTTTCATGATTCAAAATATTGAATTCAATACAATTTCATATTAATGTTAATTTAATTCAGACAATGATAGCAATAAATATCCAACCGATTGGGATCTGCAGTTCATTTTGTTCACTCGTCTCAATCGAGACAATCCCTCACTAACTATACTGCCATACAATCCAACCGATGATAGCATTAAGATCACTACATTTGATCCCAATAAAAGGACCAAATTTCTGGCCCACGGCTGGACGAGTGGATTCAATATATCGGATGTCACGGGACGACACTGGATGAAAGTATTCGTCATTTTTAATGTTCACTTTATTTCATAAATATATCAAAAAATGTTTAAAAACTTTTGAAGCAATTCATGAAATAATGATTAATAGTTTTAATTTAAAACTAATTGTCTGTGTGTTTGTCTGAGAACGCGACTGATTTCATACTCAGCCAAATGGATGGTAACGTGTTTTGTGTCGACTGGTCTAAAGTGGCCGCTGATGTGCTGTACTTCCCAGTGGTTCCCAAGACACAAGTGGTCGGACAAATGATCGGATATTTTATCAATCGGTTAATCGCTGCCACCGGTGTCTCATTGAATGACATCCATCTGATTGGCC